GCACTGGTAATCATTCCAAATTTTGAGAATTCTTTCCTTGAACATTCATTATCAATAGTATCATCCAAATTCTTTATATATAAATTAACACCTTGATATTTGTTCATAGGTTCTTGTCTTTCTACCTCTTTTTTACGTTTCATTTGAGATAAACGTTGATTTTTCTTTTGAAAACGACCAACAAAAAGTTGTTTATCACCTACAGTAAAACCATTAAAATTTTCAACAGCCTATGCAAAATAGAAAAAGTTTTAGAAAAAAATAAACCAAAAATTCTGAATTTACTTGTTCAGCTTCTTCAGGTGTATCGAAACTGCAGAAACCAAAACCTTTGGAATGACCACTATCATCAGTAACAAGCTAAATTCATACAAAAGGTTTTTTTCATTTGAACTATTTAAATTGATTATTACCTTCAAACTTGTAATTTTACCATATTTCGAAAACAATTCACGAAATTTCTCTTCATCTAATTGGTCACCGAAATTCTTTAGAAAAATATTTGTAAATTTACGTGGTCCACTGGGATCAGTTCGTTGATTGCGAGAGGAAAATCGACCAACGAATACTTTTTTATCAGCAAGTAACATACCATTCACTTTATTAATAGCAATATCGGCTGCTTCTTGAGATTCGAAATGAACGAAACCGAAACCTTTTGGTTGGCCACTTTCATCAGTCATGATCTAATTAATAAAATCGAGATTTTTACTTTGTTCGGAAAGATTAGTAATTTTTACTTTGCACGATAAAATATTGCCAAAAGCCGAAAATGTATCATAAAGTGATTTATTATCAATGCTTTTATCCAAATTTTTGATAAATACATTGTTAACACCAGATTTATGTAAAGCTCGATCACGTTGCTGCCACATTATGCGTAATGGGCGACCGCAAAGTATATCGAAGTTCATTGTATCAAGTGCAAGTTCAGCTAGAATGATACAATACATATATATCTTTTACAAGAGATTCTCAATAAGGTTGAGTATAAAAACTCTCGGCTGTCACGTGTTTTTGTTACGATGAAATAAACTATAAATATGAAAGATAGTATTCCTGGATGGGAGGGATTCGACCAGAGTTTTTCCTCCTGTGGTATCGCTATTAGTTCTACTCAATTCGATTAACATGATACAAATGATATTAATTAATAAAATACTATCACTTGTAAGATTTCTTGTGATTACGTAATACTAAATGCAAAAAAATAGACATACCATCAGCTGCTTCTCGAAAGTTGACATAACCATAGCCAAGTGATCGTCGAGTAATCATATCACGACAGACACGAATGGACAGAATTGTTCCAGCGCTTGCAAATTTATCGAATAACATAGCCTCGGTGACATCAGGATGAAGATCCCCTATGATTTATATCAAAATTTTAGAAGAATAAAAAATCAAAGAAGTAAGTT